GGAATTGACAGTAGTTGATATCTGTCTGGGGTGCGGGGGGGCACACCTCATCCACAAGGGTACCTGCACAATGAATATTTGTAACCTCACCATGAATTGTACCCCACAATTTTAAAATAAAAATTAAAAGAAGGGAAAAAAAAGAAAGAAAACATCTTTATTTTTAGCCAACTGAAACTGTTTCCAGTTTGGGTCGAATACAAAATCGACAGACCCCCCAAACCATGGGGAGACGCAGGCGCCAAGACAGCCGGGGACAGAGCCCTGGCGATGGCACGGCCCTGGAGGGGCCCAGGGGGAGGGAGGTGGCAGGTCTCAGTCTTGCAGGGGAAACACCTGGTAGCAGCAGTCAGGCTCTCCCACCGAGGGCAGGAAGGGGCCCAGGAAGTGGGGTGGGGGGAAAGCCACCCGGAGGCCAAGAGCTGGGGACCCTGCCCACCTAGCCTGCACCCTTGGGAACTTGCTCCTTCGTGCCTTCTGCCCCGTGGCTCTTGGTGCCACCCGGTGGGGCAAGAGAAGGGAGAGGCTTCCTGCAGGTCGTCCTGGATGTGCAGACCCCCCCTGCACAAGCTGTCCAGGAAAAAAGGTCCGCAAGGCGCTTCCTGTGGGCGGGGCCTCCAGAAAAAGGCCCAGGGGCACCCTGACCAGGGGAGGCTTCGGCCAGCTCCCTTGGTTGGGGTTCTCAGCCAGAGCAGTCCCCACTCCAGGGACCCCTGGCTCCGGACTCCAGGAGGCTGCGTATGGAGGACTGATACTATCCCTCCTTGCTCTAGGCCCCATCTGGGGTCCCCTCCGCTTCTCTTTATCAGAGGCATCCTTTGGAGCCTCTCTGGACTCGAGGTCGACAATGTCACTAGAATTTTGGGAGGGCGGGATTGGAGTCTCACTCTGTCGCCCAGGCTGGACCTGCTGGGCTCTGGCGATCCGTCTGCTTCAGCCTTCCAAGGAGCTGGAACTACAGGCATGCGTCATCACGCCCGGCAAATTTTTTTATTTTGATTTTGTCTCACCATGTTGCCCAGGCTGGTCTTGAACCGTGGACTCAGGCAATCCTCTCGCCTCCGGCCCCGCAAAGTGCTGGGATGACAGGTGTGAGCCACCACGCCCAGCTGACAATGTCACTAGAACTTTAAAGACCGCGTCTGGGCAGGGTGACCTGGTTTTATTTTTAATGCTGCGTGTTAGCAACTCTACAGGGAAAAGGGGTGTGGCGAACATTACCCTCACTGTAGACGTCCTGGGCCTTTGTCATCGAGGCTCACGTCCCTTTTGCCCGCTGTCCTTGGTGCGCACACACCGCCAGCAAGACCCAGTGTGTCGTGGATCCACGGTGTCTGTGTCCGACCCATCTTCAGTGTGGCTGTGACCTCCCTCCAGGGCACCTGTCTAAGGTTTGCAGAGCTGCTGACCTCTGCACAGGCACTTGGTCCAAAGTGCGGTTGCTGCTGTCTCCCGAGCTTCCTTTCCTCTCCAAGCTTCCTCTGGGAAAGTGGGATCTCCAAACCAACTAGTATGAAGAGTCTTTTTTTTTTTTCTTTTGAGTCGGAGTCTCACTCTGTCACCCAGGCTGGAGTGCAGGCGCACGCTCACGGCCACCACAGCCTCAACCTGCTGGGCTCTGGCAATCCTTCTGCCTCAGTCTTCCAAGGAGCTGGAGCTACAGGCGCGCACCACCACGCCCGGCTAATTTTTTGATTTATTGTAGAGACGAGGTCTCACCAATTGCCCAGGCTGGTCTCGAAACCCTGAACTCAGGCAACCCTCTCATCTTGGCCTCCCAAAGTGCTGGGATGACAGGCTCGAGCCACTGCACCTGGCCTTTATTTTCAGAGATGAGGTCTCACCGTGTTGCCCAGGCTGGTCTCAAACTCCTGGGCTCAAGCAATCCTCTTGCCCCGGCCCCCCAGAGTGCTGGGATGACAGGCGTGAGCCATCGTGCCTGGCCATGAAGAGTCTTCAAGGGTTCATCACAGTTGTATCCTGCTCTCACATGGGGCAGTGTCACCTGTTTGCCTACAGCTCTTCAAGTCTGGAGAGTGTGTGTGTAGAGAGAGAGCGTACCTGTGTGTGTTTAGCAGGTGTGTGGTTAATCCTCCCATTGCAGATGAGAAAACTGAGGAACGTGACGAGGTCCCTTTCCCCGGAGTCATCAGAATGGTAGCCAGGGGTCTAGAGGTCACACCTCCTGGCCCCTAGCAGCGTCTGCCAGGCAGACCGCTGTGCTTCTGACATGTCTCCTAGACGTGCGGACAGCAGCCTCTTCTTACTTCTCTTGCCCCTTGTTCATGGAAAAAACCAGAAGCTCAGCCCAGCCCCTCGTGCCTGGCTCCTGTGCTGTGCAGGCCAGGTCCTCAGCTTTGCCGGGGCATCCCCGAGCCCCCTAGACCCAGGCCCTGAAGAGGTCCTCGGGCGTCAGGACAACCGTGGCACAGATGTCCACCTCCTCTCGTCTGCAGCTGATCAGCTTCTGGGGCGAGTTGGTTAGCGTCTGGAAAAAAAATGTGTATTCGTATTCTTAGTTGCCAGTCGTGGGAGAAGTCGCAGTCACAAAGATAGTGTGAAAATCTCGGTTATTTCATTCATTAATTCTCAAGCAGTTAAAAAAACACAATCCCAGCCCCTAGATCGGGGGCTTCCAGCAGGTGCAGAGACCACTTCCCTGTTCACAGCCTGGCAGTTCCCTTAGGGTCCTGCTTGGTCATGGTGCTCCGCTCTGGGACCCCGGCCTGCGAACGCACAGAACCTTCTGCCACCGGAGAGCTAGGAGAAAACGATGTGGTCTGAGATGCCCTGCGAATGGCGCCTGGCACAGTGCCCGGTCCAGAGAGGGTGCCCTGAAACGGCAGTCCCCTCCTTCCTCATACTTCACGCTCCTGTATGACCTCCCAGTGGCCCGATCCATAATAATTACTGGCTGTAGGCCAGGCACGGTGGCTCACGCCTACAATCCCAGCACTTTGGGAAGCCGAGGTGAGAGGATGACCTGAACCCACGGGTTCGAGACCAGCCTGGGCAACTTGGCGAGACCTCGTCTCTACAATGAAACAAAATATTAGCCAGGCGTGGTGGTGTGTGTCTGGAGTTCCAGTCACTTGGAAGGCTGAGGCGGAAGCATCGCCAGAGCCCAGCAGGTTGAGGCTACGGTGGCCGTGAGAGTGCCCCTGCCCTCCAGCCTGGGTGACAGAGTGAGACTCCGACTCAAAAAAAAATTACTGGCTGTAAACGTGAAGCTACCAGCTTTTCAGAGGGCTCTCTCTCTCGTCACTCACCTGTCTGCCTCCACCAAGTCCTCCAGATTGTTCTGCAGTCACCACCCCACGCCCCAGCCCTTCCCCTCCATACTCTCAAGGGACACAAGGCACACCAGTCCCCTCCACCTCTGTCCCCCAAGAGACATCAGCTTCTTTGAGTCACCCTTGGTCCTCATTTATAAGGAGGCAGCTGCAGGGGCTTGCTTTTATTATGCTCAAGGAACACAGAAGACAATATTTTCATGATGAGCAAACAAAGAGTATTTCCTGAGCCCGCGGGTTCGAGACCCACCTGGGCAGCGAGACCTCATCTCTATAAT